AGTAGCCTTTCTACAGAATGAAGAGAATGTATATGTTTTGGAACACTAATATGTGACTGTAACTTGTTTCCAAGGAACAGAAGCTTGTGTTTGACGTGGTTCTGCAACAATGGAGAAAAAAACATGGAACAAGAAGACAAAAGCATTCCTCGACACTGAAGATTAAATCAAAAGTAAAAAAAGAAAAAGTGTGGTTCTTGCTGAGATTTAGGAAGTACTGTTATGATATTGTGGGATTTCTCATAGAAAATGTAAAATACCGAAACTCTTCCTTAGCCATATGATATTACTGGATAAATTATTAAAAATCTTGTCCAATAAAAGTTTTTTTTTTTTTTTGACTGGATCATTTTAAATAATAATATTGGCAAATTCAATGTTTTCGGCCACAAATCGAAAAATAATATTATACATGATATATTGGTGACCGAAAAAGAGACGAGATAATATCTAAAAACCATATATAACAGATCTTCTCGGCTTGAGCCTCTTTTTATTGGATCAGGGGATGGCTAGATTTCCTCGCAACGACAGATGGGACATGAAAGATTGCGGCCAAGCCACTGAAAAATACAGTCTTTGTGGAAACTGTGGGAACAAAGCAATTCCATGGTGCTGCTTCTAGACAGATTGCGCATGAGTCTTGTTCTGTTTGTATCTTACGATGGTGATCTCCGGAGTCATCATTATCTATCACCTCACTAATCCAAGTTTCTTCTATAACTTCAACTTCAGTTACAATTAAGAAACCTCTTCCTCCTTCTTCTTCTCGGTAGCGAGTCAGCTCCATCGCTTCTTTGTAGATACTAGGAACCACGCAGTCCCGAATACTGTCGGGGATCCCGTTGAATCTCAACAGAAGGTCCACCAGTCCACGACACCTTGCTTCGTTGACAAGGCAATTAGGTGCGATCTTGTAATCGAGCTCTATAGCATTCTCCTTGCTAATGGTTGTTTGTTGAACTGGGGTTTCACGACCACTAGCACTCCGCGAACAAATGCGCTTGGTTCTTCCGACCCTTAGTATAAACGATATATCGTCCTTATTGGGGATATAACATATGTATTATTGGGCTTAATGTTGTGGGCTTGTTACGTATGGGTTACGGTTAGTCGGTGTGTGTAAACCCTAGCTACAATTGTGTATATAAGTCATTGTCTGTGAGTTTAATAAAGCAAGGCAGTTTGATATCCAATTCTACATGGTATCAGAGCTAAAATCTTGCATAAAACCTAAAAATTCTTCCGCTTGTTAATCGATAGTTTCGATTTCGTGTGTTTTAAAGTTTGTATCTTGCGTGTCAAGAAAAGATGGCTGGGGACGAAGACATCAACACTTCCGGCAGCTCAGCAAAGTCAGGGACTACAACACAACGACCGGAGAACATGGTGGTGTCACCATACACGTTGGCTAATTCAGATAACCCCGATGTTATGATTTCCTCGGTTGTGTTAACCGGTGAAAATTACAATGAATGGGCAACAGAGATGTGGAATGCTCTGCAAGCTAAGCGAAAAACAGGTTTCCTCAATGGTGTAATCCGGAAACCACCCACAAGTGATCCCAATTTTGAGAATTGGACTGCTGTTAACTCGATGATAGTTGGGTGGATCCGCTCTTCCATTGAACCTAAAGTCAAATCTACGGTCAGCTTCATCTCCGACGCTTATCTGCTGTGGGAGGATCTCAAGCAACGTTTCTCTGTAGGAAACAAAGTCCGTGTGCATCAGCTCAAAGCAGAGCTTGCGTCGTGTCGTCAAGATGGACAGCCAGTCCTTGATTATTTTGGTCGTTTGAGCAAAATCTGGGAAGAATACCAGATCTACAAGCCAATCAAAGTGTGTACTTGTGGTTTGTGTATGTGTGGCCTCTCCAATGAACCAGCAAAAGAAAGAGAAGAAGAGAAAATTCATCAATTTGTGTTAGGGCTCGACGAAT